ATCCATAAATCCCATAATTAAATCCCATAAATAAATCCCATGAGTCCCAAAATAAATCCCATAAATGCCACGAATAAATCCCACAGATGAATCCCATCAATAAATCCCATAAATCCCATAAATAAATCCATAAATCTCATTAATAAATCCCATGAATCCCATCAATAAATCCCATTAATCCCATGAACAAATCCCATAAATCCCATAAATAAATCCCATACATCCCTTAAATAAATCCCATAAATCTCATAAATAAATCCCATTAATCCCATCAATAAATCCATAAATCCCATATTTAAATCCCATAAGTAAATCCATAAATCCCATTAATAAATTCCATAAATAAATCCCATAAATAAATCTATAAATCCCACAAATAAATCCCATGAATCCCATTAATAAATCCCATAAATCCCATGAATAAATCCCATTAATCCATCCCATAAATCCTATGAATAAATCCCATAAATCCCATCAATAAATCCCATAAATCCCATTAATCCATCCCATAAATCCCATGAATAAATCCCATGAATCCCATGAATAATTCCCATAAATCCCATGAATAAATCCCATAAATCCCATCAATAAATCCCATAAATCCCATTAATCCATCGCATAAATCCCATGAATAAATCCCATAAATAGATCCCATAAATCCCACAGATAAATCCCACGAATCCATCCCATAAATCCCATGAATAAATCCCATGAATAAATCCCATAAATCCCATCAATAAGTCCCATAAATAAATCCCATAAATCCCATTAATCCATCCCATAAATCCCATTAATAAATCCCATAAATCCCATTAATAAATCCCATAGATAAATCCCTCGAATAAATCCCATGAATCCCATAAATAAATCCATAAATGAATCCCACAAAATCCCATCAATAAATCCCATAAATCCCATTAATAAATCCCATAAATCCCACAGATAAATCCCACGAATCCATCCCATAAATCCCACTAATCCATCCCATAAACCCCATGAATAAACCCCATAAATCCCACGACTGAACCCACAAATCCCACAGATAAGTCCCGGATAAATCCCGGTGGGAGTTCCGTACTTGTAGACCATGCCGTGGCAGACGATGACGGAGCCGTCGTCGGAGCCGGAGGCGAAGAGCGGGTAGCGCCGGTGGAACGCCACCGAGCGCACGGCGCGGCCGTGGTGCCTGCGGGACACACAGCCGCCGTCACCGCGGGGAACACCGCGAGGGAGACAGTGGGACAGACACCGGGACAGACAGCGGGACAGACAGCGGGACAAGAGACAGCCGGCATCACCGCGGGGACACCGCGAGGGAGACAGCGGGACAGACAGCGGGAAAGGAGACAGAGGGAAAAGAGACAGCCGCCGTCACCGCGGGGAACACCGCGAGGGGGACAGTGGGACAGACACCGGGACAGACAGCGGGACAGACAGCGGGAAAAGAGACAGCGGGACAAACACCGGGACAGACAGCGGGAAAAGAGACAGCCGGCATCACCGCGGGGACAACACCGCGAAGGGAGACAGCGGGACAGACAGTGGGACAAACACCGGGAAAAGAGACAGCCGCCGTCACCGCGGGGAACACCGCGAGGGAGACAGCGGGACAGACACCGGGACAGACACCGGGACAAGAGACAGAGGGAAAAGAGACAGCCGCCATCACCGCGGGGAACACCGCGAAGGGAGACACCGGGACAGACAGCGGGAAAAGAGACAGCAGGAATCACCGTGGGGAAACATCGGGAAAAGAGACAGCCGGCATCACCATGGGGAACACCGCGAGGGAGACAGCGGGACAGACAGCGGGACAAGAGACAGCGGGACAAACACCAGGACAGACAGCGGGACAAACACCGGGAAAGGAGACACCGGGAAAAGAGACAGCCGGCATCACCGCGGGGAACACCGGGAAGGAGACAGCAGGACAGACAGCGGGACAAACATCGGGAAAAGAGACAGCGGGAAAGGAGACAGTGGGGATCACCGCGGGGAACACCGGGAAAACACCGGGACAGACAGTGGGAAAAACACCGGGAAAAGAGACAGCGGGAAAAGAGACAGCCGGCATCACCGCGGGGACAACACCGGGAAGGGAGACACCAGGAACAGAGACAGCGGGAAAAGAGACACTGGGGAAAACGGGAATCACGGCTGGGAAAGAAGGGAATCACGGCAGGAAAACACCGGGAAAAGAGACAGCGGGAAAAGAGGCAGCGGGGATCACCGCGGGAACACCAGGAAGAGAGACAGCGGGGATCACAGCCGGGAAACACCAGGAAAGGAGAGACCAGGAAAAACACCAGGAAAAACACTGGGAAATGGGATAAGGGGGAGAATAGCCTGGGATAATCTTGGACAAGAGCCCAGGATAATCTGGGATAACAACCTGGGATAACGTGGGATAACAACCCAGGATAATCTGGGATAACAACCTGGGATAATGAGGGAAAACAACCCAGGATAATTTGGGATAACAACCAAGGAAAAACTGGGGTAACAACCCAAGAAAATGTGGGATAACGACCCAGCATAGCAGGAGATTAACCTGGGATAATCTTGGACAACAGCCCAGGAAAAACTGGGATAACAACCAGGATAAGTTGGGATAACAACCCAGCAAAAACTTGGATAACCCAAGAAAATGTGGGATAATAACCCGGGATAACAGCCTGGGATAATCTTGGACAACAGCCCAGGATAATCTGGGATAACAACCTGGGATAACGTGGGATAACAACCCAGGATAATCTGGGATAACAACCTGGAATAACCTGGGGTAACAACCCAGGATAATCTGGGATAACAACCTGGGATAACGAGGGATAATAACCCAGGATAACGTGGGATAACACCTGGGATAACATGGGATAAGAATTCAGGATAATGTGGGATAACAACCTGGAAAAACGTGGGATAACAACCCAGGATAATCAGGGATAACAACCCAGGAAAAACTGGGATAACAACCCAGGATAACGGGAGAATAGCCTGGGATAACCTTGGACAACAGCCCAGGAAAAACTGGGATAACAACCCGGAATAATGAGGGATAAACGGGGCTCCCATCCCCACAAAAACCTGGGACAAGCTGGGATTTGTGGCTACCAGGGAGAACCAGGACACTGGGAATGCTCCTGGGACAACTCAGCAGATCCCGGTTGAGGCACAGGAATTGCCCTGGCCGTGCCACGTCACCTGCATGACCGGCTGGAACGGGAATGGGATCAAGAATGGGATCAAGAATGGGATCAGGAATGGGATTGGGATGGCAATGGCATGGGGATGAGAACAGGAATGGGATCCGGGTGAGATCCTGATCTTCTGGATCATCCTGGAGCTCCTCAGTCTGGGAACGGGAACGGGAATGGGAATGGGAACAAGACTGGGAATGTGAACAGGAACGGGATCCGGGTAAAATCCTGAGATCCTGATCTTCTGGAGCTCCTCGGGATGAGAATGGAAATGGGATTGGAGCAAGATCCCGATCTTCTGGATCATCCTGGAGCTCCCACGGTGGGAATGGGAATGGGAACGAGATTGGGAATGAGAACAGGAATGGGATCCAGGTGAGATCCCAACTTTCTGGATCATCCTGGAGCTCCCACGGTGGGAACAGTGGGATCGGGGAAGGGGAGAGGGAGAAAGAGTGGTTGGTGGGTCCACGGATGGGAATGGGAATGGGATTGGGAATGGGATTGGGAAATGCGGGAATTCCCAGGAATGACTGAGGGAGCTGTTGGGGCTCATCCCAGAGAAAAGCGGGATTGAAGGGATCCAGGGCGGGATCTGCTCCCAGGGAACAGGACAGGACCCAGAGAATGGCCTCGGGTTGGGATTTTTGGGAATATTCTACTGGAAAGGGCTGGAATTCCAGGATTTGAGGTCCTGGGAAGCTGGGCAGGGACTGAGGCTGAGGATTCCTGGGAGAAGCTGGGAAAAGGGGCCAATCCCAGCTGGAATTCCTGTGGCTCCGGGAAATGTTCCTGGGGATCCCTGGAAAACGGGGCAGGGGAGAGGCTCCGGCACTTCCCGGGATTCCCATGAATGAAAAGGGATCCCTTGGGATGTGGGGAGAGAGTCAGGATCCATTTGGGATCCCACCCTCGGGATGTGGAGCAGGGAACAAGGATCCTCTTGGAATTGTGTCCCTCGGGATGCAGATGTGGGAACGAGCCCAGGGTCCTGGGCTGGGATTGATCCACAGGCCCCAGATCCCGGGAATGCTGAGCCCCGCCAGATCCTGGGAACACTGCGCCTACCCGGATCCCAGGAATGCCAATCCCACCCAGATCCCAGGAATGCCGATCCCAATCAGATCCTGGGAATGCTGATCCCACCCGGATCCTGGGAAAGCTGATCCCAATCAGATCCTGGGAATGCTGATCCCACCCGGATCCTGGGAAAGCTGATCCCAATCAGATCCTGGGAATGCTGATCCCACCCGGATTCTGGGAAAGCTGATCCCAATCAGATCCCAATCCCAACGGGATCCCGGGAATGCCAATCCCAGCGGGATCCCAGGAATGCCGATCCCACCCAGATCCCGGGAATGCCGCTCCCAGCTGGATCCCGGGAATGCTGATCCCAATCAGGTCCTGGGAATGCTGATCCCAGCCGGATCCTGGGAATGCCGATCCCAGTGGGATCCCAGGAATGCCAGTCCCAGCTGGATCAAGGCAAATCTGATCCCACCCGAACCCTGGGAATACCGATCCCACCCAGATCCCAGGAATGTCGATTCCAGCTGGATTGAGGGCAAGCTGATCCCACCCGAACCATGGCAATGCTGATCACACCTGGATCCAGGGAATGACGATCACAATGGGAATGGGAACAAGACTGGGAATGAGAACAGGAACGGGATCCGGGTAAAATCCTGAGATCCTGATCTTCTGGAGCTCCTCGGGATGAGAATGGGAATGGGATTGGAGCGAGATCCCGATCTTCTGGATCATCCTGGAGCTCCTCAGTCTGGGAACGGGAACGGGAATGGGAATGGGAACAAGACTGGGAATGAGAACAGGAACGGGATCCGGGTAAAATCCTGAGATCCTGATCTTCTGGAGCTCCTCGGGATGAGAATGGGAATGGGATTGGAGCGAGATCCCGATCTTCTGGATCATCCTGGAGCTCCTCAGTCTGGGAACGGGAACGGGAATGGGAATGGGAACAAGACTGGGAATGAGAACAGGAACGGGATCCGGGTAAAATCCTGAGATCCTGATCTTCTGGAGCTCCTCGGGATGAGAATGGGAATGGGATTGGAGCGAGATCCCGATCTTCTGGATCATCCTGGAGCTCCTCAGTCTGGGAACGGGAACGGGAATGGGAATGGGAACAAGACTGGGAATGTGAACAGGAACGGGATCCGGGTAAAATCCTGAGATCCTGATCTTCTGGAGCTCCTCGGGATGAGAATGGAAATGGGATTGGAGCAAGATCCCGATCTTCTGGATCATCCTGGAGCTCCCACGGTGGGAATGGGAATGGGAACGAGATTGGGAATGAGAACAGGAATGGGATCCAGGTGAGATCCCAACTTTCTGGATCATCCTGGAGCTCCCACGGTGGGAACAGTGGGATCGGGGAAGGGGAGAGGGAGAAAGAGTGGTTGGTGGGTCCACGGATGGGAATGGGAATGGGATTGGGAATGGGATTGGGAAATGCGGGAATTCCCAGGAATGACTGAGGGAGCTGTTGGGGCTCATCCCAGAGAAAACCGGGATTGAAGGGATCCAGGGCGGGATCTGCTCCCAGGGAACAGGACAGGACCCAGAGAATGGCCTCGGGTTGGGATTTTTGGGAATATTCTACTGGAAAGGGCTGGAATTCCAGGATTTGAGGTCCTGGGAAGCTGGGCAGGGACTGAGGCTGAGGATTCCTGGGAGAAGCTGGGAAAAGGGGCCAATCCCAGCTGGAATTCCTGTGGCTCCGGGAAATGTTCCTGGGGATCCCTGGAAAACGGGGCAGGGGAGAGGCTCCGGCACTTCCCGGGATTCCCATGAATGAAAAGGGATCCCTTGGGATGTGGGGAGAGAGTCAGGATCCATTTGGGATCCCACCCTCGGGATGTGGAGCAGGGAACAAGGATCCTCTTGGAATTGTGTCCCTCGGGATGCAGATGTGGGAACGAGCCCAGGGTCCTGGGCTGGGATTGATCCACAGGCCCCAGATCCCGGGAATGCTGAGCCCCGCCAGATCCTGGGAACACTGCGCCTACCCGGATCCCAGGAATGCCAATCCCACCCAGATCCCAGGAATGCCGATCCCAATCAGATCCTGGGAATGCTGATCCCACCCGGATCCTGGGAAAGCTGATCCCAATCAGATCCTGGGAATGCTGATCCCACCCGGATTCTGGGAAAGCTGATCCCAATCAGATCCCAATCCCAACGGGATCCCGGGAATGCCAATCCCAGCGGGATCCCAGGAATGCCGATCCCACCCAGATCCCGGGAATGCCGCTCCCAGCTGGATCCCGGGAATGCTGATCCCAATCAGGTCCTGGGAATGCTGATCCCAGCCGGATCCTGGGAATGCCGATCCCAGTGGGATCCCAGGAATGCCAGTCCCAGCTGGATCAAGGCAAATCTGATCCCACCCGAACCCTGGGAATACCGATCCCACCCAGATCCCAGGAATGTCGATTCCAGCTGGATTGAGGGAAAGCTGATCCCACCCGAACCCTGGGAATGCTGATCCCACCTGGATCCCGGGAATGCCGATCCCACCCAGATCCCGGGAATGCCGGTCCCAGCGGGATCCCGGGAGTGGCGCTCCCACCTTGCCGTGCTGCACCAGCAGGCGGATCCCCTTGGCGCGCTCCTCGGGGCCGGCCGGCACCCAGCGCACCGGCTGCACCCGCTCCTCCTCCGGCGCTTCCCAGGAATCCAGGAGCTGGTCCGTGGCTGCCACCAGCAGCCGGTCCCCGAGGCCCGGGTTCACCAGGAGCACCTGCTCGTCCCTGGGAACCAACGGGAAAACCGGGATCAGCGGGAATCCGGGAATTCTCTGGGATCAGGGAACCCTCCCCAGGAACACCTGCTCATCCCTGGGGAATGGGAAACCCGGGATCAGGGAATCCTCCCCAGGAGCAGCTGCTCATTCCTAAAGAATCTGGGATCAGGGAATCCTCTGGGATCAGGGAATTCCCCCCCAGGAACACCTACTCATCCCTGGGGAACGAACGGGAAAACCGGGATCAGGGAATCCTCTGGGATCAGGGAATTCCCCCCCAGGAGCAGCTGCTCATCTCTGGGGAACGGGAAACCCGGGATCAGGGGGAATCTGGGAATCCTCTGGGATCAGGGAACCCTCCCCAAAGCACCTGCTCATTCCTAAAGAATCTGGGATCAGGGGAAATCCGGGATCAGGGGAAATCTGGGATCAGGGAATTCTCCCCAGGAGCAGCTGCTCATCCCTGGGGAATGGGGGAATGGGAAACCCGGGATCAAGGGGAAATATGGGATCAGGGAATCCTCTGGGATCACAGAAACCTCCCCAGGAGCACCTGCTCATTGCTAAAGAATCTGGGATCAGGGGAAATCTGGGATCAGGGAATTCCCCCCAGGAGCACCTGCTCATCCCTGGGGAATGGGGGAATGGGAAACCCAGGACGAGGGGGAAATCCGGGACCAGGGAATCCTCTGGGATCACAGAAACCTTCCTAGGAGCGGTTGTTTATCCCTAGGGAATGTGAAATCCGGGATGAGGGAATCCACCCCAGGAGCACCTGCTCATCCCTAAGGAATCTGGGATCAGGGGAAATCCGGGATCAGGGAACTCCCTGTGGGACAGGATTGGGATTGGGATGCTCCAAATCCAGGCACGGAATGAACTCTGGCAGAGGATCTGGGATCTCCAGAGGAAAACTGGGAATGATCCCTGGGACGGATCCCAGAGGACTCACATGGCCACCAGGGAGATGGAGGGGTTGGGAAATCTGGGAATGATCCCAGGGGAATGACCCCTGGGAATGATCCCAGGGGACTCACATGGCAACCAGGCCGATGGAATGGCTGGGGTTCCAGGGGAATGTGGGGAGGATCCCAGGAAATGATCCCAGGGAATGTGGGAAGGATGCCAGGAGAACACTCACATGGCCACGGCCAGCAGGCAGACGCCGGGGTTGGGGTTCCAGGGAATGATCCCAGGGGATTATCCCAGGGAATTATCCCAGGGGATCACTCACATGGCCACGGCCACCAGGCAGACGCCGGGGTTGGGGTTCCAGGGAAATCAGGGAATTATCCCAGGGGATCACTCACACGGCCACGGCCAGCAGGCAGACGCCGGGGTTGGGGTTCCAGGGAATTATCCCAGGGGATTATCCCAGGGAAGGATCCCAGGGGATCACTCACACGGCCACGGCCAGCAGGCAGACGCCGGGGTTGGGGTTCCAGGGAAATCAGGGAATTATCCCAGGGGATCACTCACACGGCCACGGCCAGCAGGCAGACGCCGGGGTTGGGGTTCCAGGGAATGATCCCAGGGGATTATCCCAGGGAATTATCCCAGGGGATCACTCACATGGCCACGGCCACCAGGCAGACGCCGGGGTTGGGGTTCCAGGGAAATCAGGGAATTATCCCAGGGGA